TTGGGTTGGAAAAATGGGGGGGCGTCTTGTACATGGGGGCGTCTTATAGTCGGAAAAATACAGTATACACACACACACACACACATACACTTGATAGGTGGATAAAAATGCCATATCCAGTCTAAACAACTGGATGACTATGTGACCAACAATAATTTGCCTTTGGCTTCATATTTCTTGAAAGTACTCAATGCTCTGACAAAATCATTTTCAGAGCATGGTTGGGGGAAGACACTGATAAAGTTTGAGCCATATATGTTTTGAAAATTCATCTTCTAGAGCATTATTAACTGGCAATTCCAGTTGATTACTGGGATCCACAGAGGGAAACAAAATATTCTGTTGATGCCCCACATGAATTGTCATTTTAGAAATATCCACTTTAAAATTTTCAAAGATACAATGACATATGAACATAACTGGCAGTTCACTCAACTGAACTTAGTAATAACTGGAATTCATTGACAGAATTGCCCTTTGAGTGGATGTGCACTTTTGAGGGAAAATGGTGATACACCCCAAGACCTAGGAGATTTAATTCAAGAACCAAAATGAGTGCATGTATAGAATGTTGAATTCAGATAGAATCGCTAAAGGTATATAACTAATCAATAAAACTTTTTTTTAAAGAAACAAAACTGTACCAAAAGGCAGGAATGTCCATGGGGGAGGGCTTCAAAATCTGCAAGATGGCAGGCATGGATGAAACCCCTAAAAAATTTCCTTCATATGGCATGAAAACATCTTAGGAAATGGATCCACAATTTTGTCCTCTACTGATTTTGAAAGCACCTGCACAGTGGCAACACAATCTAATGTTTTAAATCTATTAATTTCTGAAGGCTTTAAAAAAAACAAACAAACCCAGAAATGCTGAGTTTTGAATCAAGAGTAGCTTTTATATCATGTATTCTTTGCCTATTTTACTGTATGAAATGATTGCCTTTTTAAATGTCCCTTTAATAGGAGGACAGTTGCGTACAACTACTTCTAATCAAATCTCTCTTCAGCAGCAAAGCATTTTTCAAATCCAGGGAAATTTTCTAATCGGCAGCCTAGTGCTAGCGCCCACACACAGAGTCCTTGCCATGCCAGCTCTTATCGCTACGGTCAATGTAGTGAAGACACCCACATAGCAGCAGCTGCTGCAATTCTGAACCTTTCCACCCACTGCAGGGAAGCAACAGAGATCCTCTCCAGCAAACCACAGAGTCTGTCTGCCAAGGTAGGCCAGTCCAGAAACCTGGAGGGTGTGATAGCTACTGAACTGTGTGAATAAACTGTCTTTCATATTAGTGATTGCATTCAATTCATCCCCCTTCCTGTCCCCCAAAAGAGCAGCTCCTTTCTGAATATTCCTTTGAAGAGTGACAGGACTATGTTGTGGATAGTTGCCATAATTGGCTTCAAAGTAGAAAAGAAGGACAAGGTTTAAACTGGTTTAAAAGAGGCCTCTTTTCTCATGAAATAAAGACTATAGAAATGGTGGGAGATTTAAGTTTTGATAAATTGGAGATAAATAAAAGTTTTGGTGAAAAGGTGGTTACTGAAAATGTGGTGCTTATTTACTCATAGCCATAAACTTTTCATTTTAATTAAGCTTTGTTTTCACTGTTTATAAGACAATAAATGTTGGTGGTGGTGGTACTTAATAAGATAGGATTCTCAACCAGTGTCCTCCAGATATGCTGGACTTCAGCTTTGCTAAGGGAATCTCAGATACCTTTAGCAACACAGCCTTGCTAGTAGGCAAATTAGGCTGTATCAGTAGCATTTACTACCACTGTAGTAGCAAGAACATCATTAGAAATAGTATTGGTAGAGCCTTGAAGCACACTGAGATGGTCTTGTAGAAAAGATGAATAGGCACAGATGTATGGGGCTGGATAGATTAATAAAAAGTATTATACAGTGTACAATGGTTGTCTTTGCACTGGAAGAGAGAGATTACTATTTCGCAATCCTTCTACTAATCAGTCTAGCAGTAGGTCCTCAATTCTGATATGTGGACAACCATTATTTTGGTCGAGGAGAAGCTTCTTCGGCAAGATTGATTCCTTCTGGCAAATGTATCATTTTTACAGTATTTCAAATATGGAAAATCAAATCAGCTATCAAAGCTTGCAGACGTTGAACGAGAACGTTCTGCTCTGCCTTTTCTGACAGCCATTATGACAGCCAGTTTCTTGAAAGCCAATCAGGCTGACAGTCTTGTTTTCCAAACCCAACTATCCAGGCAATTTCTTTTTAAGGTACAGGATTTGTTACAAGTTTTCTCTGGATCCACAGCTTTATTTACTATCTTGGACAGAGAAAGTATTCTAGCACTAGCTATGGCAATCCCCACTCTGATCCCCTGTGTTGAAAAAGAGGCTGATGCCAAAGGCAATATTAAATTGCTTCCCCTACCTTTGGCTGACCTTAGAAACAGACCTTTCTTGCCAAAGAACAGTAATAAAGGGAACATAGTTAATATATATTTTTCAGTTATACACCTGATTTGCATTTGCCAAAGAAGGAAATACAATTGTAGCAACTCATACTCACAACTGGGGCACATAGTAAGAATGATTTGTATACAAAATTAAAAAAAAATTTTTTTTTAAATCATCATGTATTGTCCTCTGCCAGCTTTTACTTTTGCCAAACTTCCAGCAGGGCAAAATGACAACCAGGGTTACAGAATAGCCGACAGAAGAAACAAAATTAGTTTTTGGCCAAAGCAAAGGGATACAAGGCTGAGAGAGATGGATTCGCCAAAATCACAGATATTCTCTTTATTTGGTTTGAATAATGATCCCTTTTAGGAAATGGAGATTTTAAACAGAATAATATATATCATGATGCTTTCTTGTTGCTTATGCCTGAAAGAAAACAAATTATCATGATCTGAAACTTATCCTAAACCTGTATGGTTTTAATTTGGTGTGATGATCACTTTGATTTTCTCTCTTGTTTCCGAACAATATCTTTTAATGTAATTTTTAATTGTGCATTTAATTTTCTCAGAAGGTATTATCATTTCATTTAAAATAATGTAAAGCAAGGAATTTGAAATTCTGTGGCTCCCTCTCCACTTCAGCTATGTTCATGAGAAAACATACTGGGAACATTTTCTATGAAATAAAGAATGAAAAATGAATTTGTGCAAGTTATCTTTCCCCCCCAATCTCTTTGCAGAGAAAAAGTTTTGATCCAACAGTCCATGAGCCTTCTAAAGAATGTTGGGGGGGAAATACTTCAACAGGCTACATACCTTTTAAAGTTTATTTAAGTCTGGTAAAAAGAGAGAGAGCGAGTAAAAACCAAGCAAAATAATTTAGATTTCTGCTCACTGTCATCCAATAAAATATTATCCGGATGTGGAAAACTGTATGGGGAAAAAAATTACCATCCACTTTCAAACTTAACCTCAAGAATGAGAATAGACTCAGTGAAGCTTATATGAATAGTTTAGTTGTAATGGTTTTATATTGTTATATAGTTAATTTCTAGATTGCTTTTAATGCATCTAGAAATAGAGCATCAGTCTTCCTTTGAAAAAATATGTTTTGATTAATCTATCAAAACAACAAAATAAAATATACCAAAGTTTAATTGAAATATTAAGTCTGTTTTTATAGGATATTTTTAAGGGATTTTATTTTGGTATTTCCAAGTTATAGAAGGAAAAGATGTGATCTATAATCACTTTGTATATTTATTTAATAACATAGATCTCCATAACTATTGGTTTTCTGTATGAAATAAGCAAGAAAAAAAATCAACAAATGGTAGTAACATCAATGAGGTACAATATATTTAAAAGAATACTTACAAATTCCTACAAAGATGCCTCTGGATCAGTTTGAATAACTAAAATAAATTAAATCAGATTGTGCTCAAAAAAGATATTTTCAATCAGTTACAATACAAAAGATGTGGCATTTTTCCAGCATTGTTTTAATGGTCCCAATACATTTAAATAACTACAGGTGATTCCACATAAATATTTCATATTATAGGTTCCACAATGGAATAGGAGCTTGAATCACCTGTATTTATCCAGATCGCAGGAAACTGATGATTCAGTCTGCATTAGAGACTGTTCAGAAAAGGTTTTAGGAAGTGATGAAGCTCTTAACTTTCCTTCTAGTATAAGTTCTTGTGAAATATGCCTTGTAATATCACATCATAACACAGTTTTCCCTTATTTGATCTCATACTTTGTGTACTTGCCATTCAAAGAAGGAGACACATGCAGTACATTCTGTCTTTATCCTTTCTAATGTGTTTTTCCAAGAAATCTATTTAATGTTTGGGTGTTTCCCCCTCCCCCCCCCCCGCCCCACAGGTTTAGACAGAGTGGCATATGTGCACTGTATCTTGAAAGGAAACACAACAGGAAAATAAACAGCATGAAATATTTAGCAGACAAGCATATCTGATGTCTCTCAATTATTCCTGGTGCTGAAGCTGATGAATAGATAACAAAATTCAACCCAGGAATTTGGATTGTGGTACTTAAGGATATATTTAAGTTTATGTCTTAAATATAAAATTAGTGCATTCAGTATATTTAAAGCTATTACCCCATAGTATGAAATGCTAAGCAGAATAATTTATTTTAATATATTTGAAAACTATATGAAAATATAGTTTTCAAATATATTATTGCAATTTACTTCTTGATATATTTTTTTTAATCCACAGACTTTTAATTAAATGGAATAGCATAGGAAGTTGGACATTTACAGGCCCACTGGATGTATTTTAAGTAAATCTACTTGGTTAAATTTGTCCCCTGTTCTTAATTTATTTTCCTGACATTATATTATGTCCAAGCCCAGGACTTCTTTGTAGTGGTATCCGATCTACAGATTTCCCTCCATTGCAATACTTATTTGTTATTATTTAAATGATATAAGTAACTATTTCGGAAGCAGCTTTCTATCCAGACAAATAAAGCCAGCATTGCCTACTCATCAGTTTCTGGCAAACAAATTCATAAAATATTCTGATATTTTGAACAGTAGATGCAAAGAATTGAATCCAAATTCTTTTCATGCAATGCCTATGCCCTTGCTCTATCAGGAGAGATATAGTGGGTATACAGAATATGTACATGAATTTGAAAGCCAGCATGATTTATGGGTTAACTTGCTTTATAATTTTTAAGTTATTTTTTAATTTGTTTTCCCTTCATGTAGTTT